GACAGGGTCTCCCTGTAGCCCCAGCTGTCCTGGAACTCACTATGTAGACCAGGCTGGCCTTAAACTCACAGAGATCTGCCTGCCCCTGCTTCCTGAGTGCTGAGATTAAAGGCGTGCACCGCCACACCTGGCTATTTTTGAGATAGGGTCTCACTGTGTGGCCCTGGCTGGTCTAGAACTCACTATGTAGACTAGGCAGGCTTCGAACTCACAGAAATCCACCTGCTGCCGCCTCCTGAGTTCTGGGATTAAAGGCATGTGCCACCATGCCCATAATAAAGATTTATTTTATTTTTAATTGTGAGTGTTTGTGCATGTGAGTGAGGGTGCCTGCAGAGGCCAGAAGAGGGCATTGGGTTCCCTGGTTTTGGAGTTAAAGATGGTTGTGACGTGGGTTCTGGGAATGAAACTTTGATCCTTTGCAAGAGCAACAAGTGCTCTTAACCACTGAGCCATCTTTCTAGCCCCAGCTTTTTTTTTTTTTTTTTTTTTTTTTGAGACAGTGTCTCATTACGTACTCCGAGGTAGCCTCAACTCTGGATCTTCCTACCTCAGCCTCCTGAGTGCTGGAATAACAGGCATGGGCCACCATGCTTGGTCCACTTAGGCTATTTATTTATTTATTTTGATCTTTTTGAGACAGGGTCTCCCTGTAGCCCCAACTGGCCTGGAACTCGCCATGTAGACCAGGCTGGCCTTGAACTCACAGAGATCCGCCTGCCTCTGCCTCCCAAGTGCTGGGATTAAAGGCGTGTACTATAATGCCTGGCAAAGCTATTTATTTTTATCATTACTTTTTTGAGAAAGAGTTTCATGTAATTAGGCAGGCCTCAAACTGGAGCTTGTTATGTAGCAAGGGCTGACTTTGAACTCCTGATGTTCCTGCTTCTACTCCCCAAGTGTTAGAATGACAGGTGTGTGCCACCACACCCAGCCCTCCTAGGCTTTTATAACAGAGAATTGTATTGCTACGGGTCACCATGGGCTGGTACTTGCTGTGGCTTTATGGATAGAAAAGCAGTTTGTGGTCTAGGGAGATGGCTAAGTAGGTAAAATGGTTTCTGTGTAAGTATGAGGATCTGAGTTTGAATCCCGAGAATCCATATAAAAGCTGGGCTGTAGTTAATCCTAATGTTCCTATGATGAGACAGGGAGTGAAGACAGGAGACTGCCCCCAGGAGTTTGTGGGCAAGCTAGCCTGGGATACACAGCAGCAAACAATAAAGAAGAGACACTTGTTTTAAGCAGGATAAAAGGTGAGGACTAACACCCAAAGTTGTCTTCTGACTGCCACATGTGTACCCTGGCACACTCACATGCCCATACTTCACATGAACTTACTTGTGTGTGTACACATACACACACACACAGAAACACACACAAACACACACACACACACACACACATCATACACAGAAAAAGGCAGTTTGCATACCAAAGCACATAGCATCCTAAATCCTAGTTTATGGCAGGTGCAAGCCTCAGCATTTTACACATATTAGATCCATGAAACTTCAGTTACTATAGGGCCAGTGCTGTTAATGTCCTAATTTATAGATGTGGAAACTCTTAAGACACTGTGCTGTTATGAGCAGTTGCAGCCACATCACATCTAATACCACCTGCTCCATTTGACAGAGGTGACACCTGTAGCCCAAGCAGAGCAGTGGTCTTCAGAAGGTGTCATGGCAGGGACTTGGACTCAGACCTCCTGCCTCCAACTTAGAGTGGGTGGTAAGCACCTTCATGAGGTAGAGGCAGGATGGCTTGAGGTGGGAGCTTGGGAGCTTAGGAAATACAGCTGGGACCCTGGGGCCCTGAAGCTGGTAGGCTCCAAGTCCTCTTTTCCCATTCCTGGGACACAACCTTCCAAGGCAGATGGCAACCCTGGTAGATCTCAAGTTGAGTACTAAGTAGAATATACGGGTGTACTTGACAGGCCTAATGCCTAGCCTTCCGGGTAGGACTCCTTAGCTTTCACTGGTCCTGGCCCCAGAACTGAGTCACCAGGTGGAGGAGTGGTGGAGAGCAGGGTGGTGCCTCTGCCTTTCCCCACCCCTCTGAAGTCTTTGCAACTCCAGCCCTGCCTGCTTCTGGGCACCTAACAATTCAGTAGGCTTGGGCCTACTATCTCCATCAACAAAAGGGGGTCTGAATCTTCTTCAAAGACCGTACACACAAGATGATCTTTCTTGAGTGTTGATCTACCCCCACTGCTCTTAGGCTCAGGCATGCAGGATGCAGGTAAGAGGAATCCAGGCTCCTGGATCTTTGCTTCAGGTAGGCTGTTTTCTGAAGCTTAACTCCAAGAACTTTGTTTTTTTTTTTCTTTTTTCTTGCTCTGTGGGGCCTTCTTGAATTTTTTTATTTTTTTGTCTTTTTGAGAGACGGTCTCCCTATAGTTCCAGCTGGCCTGGAACTATGTAGACCAGGCTGGCCTTGAACTCACAGAGCTTCTCCTGCCTCTGCCTCCTGAATGCTGGAATTAAAGGTGTACGCCACCACTCCCAGTCTATAGATGTAAAAAATTACAAAAAATTTTTTGAGGCAGGGTCTCACTATGTAGTCCTGGCTGGGCCTGGAGCTCACAGGGATCTGCCTGCCCTCTGCCTTCTGAGTGCTGGGATTACAGGTGTGTGCCACCTTTTTTTTTTTTTTTTTTTTATGTGTATGAGTATCTAGCCTGCTTGTGTAAAGGTGCACCTGTGTCATGAAAGAGAGAGAGAGAGAGAGAGAGAGAGAGAGAAAGTGTCAGAGCATGGATCCTGAGTATGCTGCTTCTGTGCATGGGTCAGGGGACATGCTGTCCCCACCAGTCCTTCCTACCTTCTTCATCTCCTTTGCCCTGGGGGTTCCTGTTGTCCCTTGAGGAGTGAGTGCCAGGCACAGACACACTGTCTTTTCTCAGCAACTATTCTCATTGACTTAAAGGCAAAATGAGTCAAGTACCTTTTCATTCAGAGCTAAAATTCATTAACTAATTGCTTGTTGATGCATTTCAGTTCTTCCAAAGTCGGAGCCCTGCCCAAGTTTATCTCTCTCCACTACCATCTGGTACCTGTTTATTACTATAGTCTCCTCTGCTTCCATGGGGGCAGGGGTAGGAAGTGAGCAGGGCTTGTGTGTGAGGGAGACATACCAGGTGGCCTTTGAAATGGTGTTTTAGAATCAATAGTGTGATAAGGGGCTGGGTAGCATGGGAACAGGTGACATTGGGAGGCATTCTGCCTGGGGCACTAGGGAAGCTCTGGTGTAGAAGCAGCACCTGATCTAGGCCTTGAATTATGAATAGGGATCCCCCAGGGAGAGGTAAGGTAGGAAAGAGGTGGAAGGGTTGAATGAATATGATGTCAATGTGGAAGGTACATGAGGAGGGGCCAACTCCCAGAGGTATCCAGTTTAGGGAATATTTTTGAGCACTATGGAGCAGGAGGTGGTCAGAGAGATAGTTGGGGACTGCCACAGCAGCCCAGGGTTGAGGTAAGTGAGTTTACCAGACCTGTGTCCAGATCTGCTTGGGCCAGTCCTCATTATTGGAGCTGGGGAACACAGAAGGACAGGACAGTCCCTGAACTCACCCTGCTCATAGCCCAGGCAGCCAGCCATAGAGCGTGAGAACCAAGATAGACGATATTGAGAAGCTTTGGAGGTCACAAGGTACAGGGAAGCTTTGTGATGGAGTGAGGCCAAGGCTAAAGTAGGAGCTGGCGAGGCCTGTGGTAGATGAAAGCATTTAGTAGGGCTGGTGGTGCTGTAGGTCTGGGGTGATGATGATGTATCCCCTTCAGAGGTGCTGAGGATAAGGCTATCAGGGGTCATCCTGATGGAGGCAGTCAGGTGGTTGAATCAGGGGTCTGGACTTCAGGAGTGGGCTCTGAGTGGAGCTGTTGGGTGTGTTTTTGTAGGGCTAGGGGAGTGTATAGAGAGCAACTAGAAGAGGCCTGAGCCCTAACCTGCCTGCCCTCTCCTCTATCCTGCCAGGCGCCTTTGCCAAGGTGAAGGAGAGCCAGCGCATGAGTGATGAGGGTCGCATGGCTCAGGAAGAGGCAGATGGCATTCGCAGGCGCTGCCGTGTGGTGGGCTTTGCTCTGCAGGCTGAGATGAACCACTTTCACCAGCGCCGTGAGCTCGACTTCAAGCATATGATGCAGAGCTACCTGCGCCAGCAGATCCTCTTCTACCAGCGGGTGGGCCAGCAGCTGGAGAAGACACTGCGCATGTATGACCACCTCTGACCACATATGCAGAGCCCCTTCCCACCCAGATCTAGTCACTGCAATCCACCCCTCTTCAAGACTCCCTGCTGCTAGCAGTAGCTGAGGGTGTCGGGGTGGATGAGGTAAACTGCCTGGCCCTCCTTCTAGGAGAAGAAGAAGGAACTTTTGATGAGTCACAATACCCCTGGAGTAATCTTCCCTCACTTGGTGACAGGTGAGAAGTGAGAATGGCAATGGGAGCCCTCTGGCCCAGAGCCTGGGCTGCTGTCAGTCCATAAAAGTCAGGCCTCTTTGGAACCTATGGTACACACTCTCCTGGCCACCACACCCTGTTCACATCCAGTGGATTCCATAGCCTGCTGTGGTCTTGGGTAGGACACTGGGGACCAAGACTGGGGCATGCCCATCCTGGAAGTGCCACCATTCAAGATGCTTATCAGATAATGCAGTGTGACAGGTGACTAAGTAAGGGATTTATGGAAGCTCACAGAAGGACCATAGCACTCTGCTGGTCAGGGGACACCCCATGGAGTGACATCCCCAAAGTGTCTGACAAGGACCTGCTAGACAGTAAATGGGGTAAAGGACATTTTGGGGGAAGGACCAACATGATCTTTTCTCTCCCTTATCTTTCCCAAGCCAGTTTGATGTTCTCTTCATGAGGACTGTCCTGTGTGAAAAAGCCAGAGTCCCTGGCTTTCCCTGTCCTATCGACTCCTCTGCAGGAGGGGCTGCAGGCCAACTTCCTCCTGTAAGCCTTGCCCTCTACTGCTGACTCCCTGCTTTCCCTTGGCTGGGGGACTATCCAGCATCCTTCCTTCTCTGGGCTCAAGGTGCCAAGATAAGCCATGGAGCACAGGGCTCTGGAAGGCATTCCTAAAAGTTACCAGTTGTAACTCTCCATTCTCTAAATAGGCCCAGGTTCCAAGTTCTCAGACACCGCAGCCTGGTCATCCAGAATCCTTCCCATTGCACAGTGGGAGCCAGAAAGGAAGAAACTGGCATGACTTGAGGTCTCCTGCTCTTGGCCAGCTCCACTGGTCAGGTTTTACCATCACTCACCTATGTTTACATCTTCTAGGGGTTACTGCCCGCTCCCCAAGGCCAGGGTGTGGCCCAACAGCACATGTGGGGGAAGCTGACCTTGCCCCCCCTGCCTTCCTGGGAAGTCATGGTCTTCTCCTGGCTACCACTGCTTGACTCTTTTTCTTGATAAACCTTTTACAGTTAATATAACAAAAGCATGTCTTTTATGTTTGGATCCTGGAAATGGTTAAAAGTGGGGACAAACAGAACCTGAACTGCCTGACTGGACTAGATTTGGTGGTCTACACAACTTCAAAAGGCTGGAGCAAGTCAGAGGCTGGTTCTATGTCCTATGCTGGTCAGAGGCAGTAGAGGTGGTCCCAGCCCTCCAGCTGGCTGCACTGCCTCTCAGACCTGGGAGTCCGTGTGTGTGTGTGTGTGTGTGTGTGTGTGTGTGTGTGTGTTTATGTGTATATTCAGACATATAATTTTAAATCTAGGCTCCACATAGAGGCTGGTTCTATGTCCTATGCTGGTCAGAGGCAGTAGAGGTGGTCCCAGCCCTCCAGCTGGCTGCACTGCCTCTCAGACCTGGGAGTCCGTGTGTGTGTGTGTGTGTGTGTGTGTGTGTGTGTGTGTGTCTATATACATATTCGTGGTGGGGGGGGAGGTGCACATGAAGGCCAGAGGTCAGTGTCAGGTATGTCTTCCTCAATTGCTCTCCACTTTTTAAAAGTTGGGTTTTTTTTGTTTTGTTTGTTTGTTATTGTTTGAGATAGTGTCTCCCTGTATTCCCAGCTGGCCTGGAGGACTCCCTGTATAGACCAGACTGGCCTCCATTTCACAGAGATCCATCTGCCTCTGCCTCCTGAGTGCTGGTATTAAAGGAGTATGCCACTGGGGCCTGGCTCTTCTACCTTATTTTAATTTTTAAAATTTATTTATTTTTTTTTTATGTGTATGTGTTCATCTGCAAGCATATGAGTATACCCATGTTGTACAATGCCCACAGAGGCCAGAATAGGGCTTTGGATACCCTGGAACTGGAGTTACGGACTGTTAGCCATCATGTGGGTCCTGGGAACCGAACCCAGGTCCTTTACAAGAGCAGCTAGTGCTCTTAACCGCTGAACCATCTCCCCAGCCCCTCCACTTTATTTTTTGAGACAGAGTCTCTCATGGTCCTGGAACTTATCGATTTGGCTAGGCTGTTAGGTCAGCAAACTCTAGGGATCCTCCTGTCTCTTGCTTTTCCAGTGCCTCCCGTGTGCTACCACTCCTGGCTTTCTACATACACAGATGCTAGGGATCTGAACTCAGGTCTTCATGCTTATGCTGCAAGCACTTTATTGACTGAGCCATTTTGTCAGCCTCTTCCTCATCTTGAAATGGGTGGTGTCTTGTGCAAAGGTTCCAGGTACCATGCTGTCTGTGTGCTGGGGGTTGTAGGAGAAAGGTATAGGGAACCATTCTGGCATTGTCCCTGGAAAGCTCCAGTCCAGGACAGGGGAGGCAGAGATTTGGTTAGTCCTGGGTGCCCAGCCCTATGGTGGCTCCTACTTTGGAACCTACAGAGGACTTGAGTTGTGCCCTTGAGAATGTCCTGCTCTGCATGACCAAGAAATGTGCCTTAGCAGGGGAGGGAAGAGTGCTGGTGAACTGTGGTCCTCTTTTAGAGGCCTTGGGGTCTGGTGTGGGGATTCTTCCAGGGTCAGTGTTACCAGAGAAGGCTTTGGTCCCCAGAACTCATAGTAAGTAGCGAGGTAAGGAATGGGCCCCATTTAGGCCATAGTGTCCTTAGGGGAACTTTTGGAATGTGTTCCCTTGGCTTTGGGTCAAAATTAGGTCAGATTTGGGACTTTCTGAGGAGTTTTCCCCTCCCTGTCTGCCTTCCTTCATTGTCTTACTATGCCAGGGACTTCTAATTTGTAACGTTTTTTCATCTTTGACCTCCATATGTCCAGGATGGGGTAGAGCTCCTTCCTGAGGTCCTCTGCAATGTTCCTCTTAACCCATGATGCCTGGAAAGCCCCCTGCTAACACTTCCTGCCCTAGGGAATAGTGTTGACCTCTTGTGTCCCTTTGCTGGAAAGGGGCCACCTTTCATTGTTGTCATCCTGAGGGTTGGGTCTCAGAGGGGCTTGGACCTAGGAGACGAGTCAGAAGAAAGTGAAGGCTAGTGTTAAGTCAGACATGTTCCAGGTATCCTGAGGTCTCTAGCTGATGGCAGGTGTTATGTGGAGTGGGGATTGGAGATGTTACAGGTCCTCTCTTTGGTTTCTTTCTATCTGTGTGTTTGGGTGAATTTGGGATTGTTCTGAGCTGAGCATAGTGTCCCTTAACAAGAGACTGGGGGGAGTACTGGTTGGGGGGGCATGCTGTGATGGCAGAGCTTGTTGGCCTTAGTCACACGCCAGGCAGATGTTCCAGACTGAGCAGGGCCCAGCTGCCTCCAGTTTCCTCCCTCACTTTTCTCTGAGGGGTTGGAAAACAAGGCCTCTCTTTCTGTCCTTCTACCAGAACCTGGGATGGGGGTGGGGGACCCTTGGGTTCCCAATCTTGGCCTAGTCCTGGAAAAGGAGTCTGTTTTGTGGTCTCATGTATAGACTGGGGATAGAGGCAGACCTGAGAGCCTGCATCCTGTCTCTTCCTGGATACAGGAAGGCTATGAGCCTCTGTGACACTGAGTGGAGCAGAGCCAAGCCTGGGGGAGCCAGGTGGGCCCTGCAGCCTTGTTAGCCACATTGTCATCCGCTTTGTCTGTGCAGGCTCAAGCACACAGTCCCTTGGTGGTAGACATACTGCTCCAAACAGCTACAAACACAGTCACACTGCTTCCTCATGGGTGACATGTGCCCACTCATACACGTGTTCTTGTACTCATATGGTGTGCACCTTGGCCACACTGCCATTCACTATCCAGCGATGGCTGTATATGCATTGCCATCAGTTCTTAGATCTGTCTCAGCCACTTTGTTATACAGTCACGCCACAGTCCTGGGTGTACAATAACAACTTCTCACAGCCAGAGTCACACATGTACACAAGCATGGTGCCTCCTGGACTGGACATGTGCCACATTCTGGACCCCTTGGTTAACTCCTTGGAGATTTTGGAGAACTTTGAGGGACAAGCCCAGAGGGCCAGGTGTTCCTGGGGGCATTTAGAGCAAGTGAACTGAGAAGTCTGGTGGTTTAGTCAGGATCAACCTGCAGCACCAAGTTCAACTTCTCATTGTATAAACAGTGGCTCTGAGTCTTAGATGGTGGTATCTGGCCACCTCACCCAGCAGGGTGGGGGGTCCTCTGGGGCCAGAGCCCAGCTCTGGGCAGGCTAGCCTGGTCTGTTTACACTAAGCTAGTCTTTGTTGCCCAAGCTGCTCCAAAAGCCCCTGGCTGAATCCACCCACCATAGCTCCAGGTTTTGGAGCATCTCCTGACTGCAGCTTGCTGAGGTAGTATCTATGGGAGCAGAAGCTAGGATGTGGTGGGCAGGGCCCCAGCCTGGGTGGAAGGAACATTCCTGCACCAGGTCCTCCCAGAGCATGCGGGGACTGGACCCGCCCTGCCTGCCTGCCTGCCCGCTGACTCAGACCTCCAGGAGCCAAGCCCACACTGCTCCCCCACCCATCCCAACCTGCTTCCCTACCACTGCCCTCCAGCTCCCTTCTCCACCCCTGGATCAGGAGAAGACTGTGAACCCTGGCAAGACCACGGGAAAAGTCAAAACTTACCATCCCCAGCTCAGAAGCTGATTATGAGACCCAAGCCCAAGGATCAATGTGGTTCAACACAAACCTTTTTCTTTTGGTTTTGTTTTGTTTGTTATACCCCAATGCAGCCCAGTCTGTTTAAAAAGCCTCATATGGCTGTGGCCTCCTCATTCTGCACATCAGTCTTAGTCAGCATCTCCATTTTATTATTTCAGAGACTGAGACTTGGCCAAAGGGAAGATGGACTTGCCTAGGCAGGGCTGGACTCGAATCCAGCTCTGGCTTCATTCCTTAAAGGTGTACTGATGAATTCACTGAGGTCTAAAGGAAGGGGCAGGGGAGCAGATCTCTGCCTCAGGAGTGTGAAGGAATAAGGGGCTGGCTGACTTACCTGCTGCTGAAATGTGAGAGGGCTTGGAGGATTGGGGGAGGCCCAGTAGCCCCCAGGGATTAAATCTAAAGCCAACATGACAACATGAGTAAGGAGGGTAATTTCATTTTCCTCCCTTGCTTTTTTTTTTGTCTTTTTGAGTCAGGGTCTCCTTATAGCCCCAGCTAGCCTGGAACTTGCTATGTAGATCAGACAGGCCTTGAACTGATAGAGATCTGCCTGCCTCTGCCTCTCAAGTGCTAGGATTAAAGGCATGCACCACCACACCCGGCATCATAATCTTAATATTGTAGCTCAGATTGGCCTTGAACTCACAGAAATCCTCCTGTCTTAACCTCTTGAGTAGTGGGATTGCAGGTATGAACCACCATGACCAGTGTAGACTGCCTTAGATTTCTCTCTATTTTCCTACATGGAAGAAAAATAATCTCAAATAATTTGGGGAATCATCCTTTTCCTAGGGTTGCATATAAGTTTTGGAGTTGGCACATTAGAAGACCTTTTGTAGGCCCTTGGCCCACTACCTTTTAGAGGCTAAATTCCACTTATTCAAATTTGCCTATGTGCTACATTAAAGGATTAAGTTTACACTTTTACTACTTGTTCTGTCTTGTAGAGATTTAATTTAAAAATCGATTAATTTTTTTTTTTTGCCTGGTGTGGTGATGCATGCCTTTAATCCCAACACTCAGGATGCAGAAACAGACAGATCTCTGTGAATTCAATGCTAGTTGAATCTACATAGTGAGTTACAGGCCTGCCCATGGTTACATAGTGGGTCCCTGTCTCAAAAAAAAAAAAAAAAAAAAAAACTATATATTTTTTGATTTTGGCCTTTGCTGCTGCTGCTGCTCCTTCTCTTCCTCCTCCTCTTCTTCCTCCTCTTCCTTTTCCGTACTTTTCTTCCCTGGATGCCAGTGATGTTGGCTGATTCCTGTAGAGCTGACCCTGGCACTGAGTTTGCAGGTAGCTCTGGTGGCATTGGTCCTCCCCTCCTGCCTTCTACTACCTGCTCCCTTGATGCCCATCCTGAGGCTCTATGGGTTTGGTTCTTTTTCTTCATTTTAGTGCTCAGAGCTCCTTGGTGGGTGGCAAAAGTCTCTCCTGTAGCCTGTGGCCCCTCCTGTGGCTCGTAGTCATCACTTTATAGCATGAAAGGCTCTTGGGGGCTG